CACCATTTATTGAAATGCCTAACGATGAAATGTTGAAATGTTGGAAATTGAATGGGTTCTTTTTATAAGCTCCGTTGAATGACGCACTTTCAACAAGACCGAAAACAAACGATTTAGGCACTAAACCATTGAAAAGGTTATCTTTTTGCAGCGAAGGGTTTCCAGAAGGAATAATAAAACTTTTACAGTCCACACGTCTTACTGGGTAAATGGCTGGACCTTTTTTCAGGGCAACTTTGTGAGCCAGAGATATACTAGGATTCACTTTGACTTTACGAACTTTAAGGTATGCATCTATCAGTTTCACTCTAAAGGCTGCACCGTCCACCGATGACATTAAGACAAATTCGTCACTGGCACGGTTCATGACCACTTTCAAATCAACATAGCTAAGTAAGTAACGTTCACCAAAGAAAACATCGCAAAAGATAGGACCTGCCATATCAACAATTTTACTTCCCATGATAAACTTATTTCTTGTCTTCAAACCCCTGTTTGGACTTGCGTGGGCAGGATCTGCATTATCCATCTGACCTGCAGTATCTTTGTAAAATAACGCAGCGGTGAGCTGGGATTGTTTGGCTGACGGACCATAATTTAAAAGTGTGCCGAGATATGCACGATATGGGTATGTTCCTGTTGCTTGTGTAACTAACTTTCCTTTTAGAAACACGTCAACTTGCTTGAACAAACTGTGCAAGAAATTGTTTACAGGTCCAACTTTAGTGTCATCATCGATATCCCCACCATCGGCTTTTGTTACTTTCGCTCTAGCTACCAATATTGTCTTAGACATGTCAACATAATCTTCTGTGCCGGGCGTTAAAAATGTAATTGGTCCATTTTCAGATACGCTGGACACAGGTTGATGATCAATCCAATGCCCCTTTTCCAAACTGACTTGTGTTGGTGGGACAGAAAATAAATCAAGTTCGGTTTTTGTACATTCTGCAGATTTTGGATGAACGAAATCCATATTTAGCCGAAAATGTCCTCTGCTTCTTTAGCTGCTTTACGTCTCTTGGCTGAACTGTGAATGGCAATGGAAGTCGTCGCCTTTCTCTTTTTAGCAGGTTTTCTTGACCGTTTCTTTGAAGACTTTCCTCTTCCTGTTTGAGCAAACTGCTGCATTCTGTTTACAGCCATTTTCCCCACATCTTTAGCAGCCTGATTTACTCGCGATTTTGCAGACTCTTTCACACTTTTCCCGGAGATAACATCACCTAAAACGTTTGCTCCTGTGTTAAGAGCAATTTTACCCAGAGCTTTTGCACCGCTTTTTGCCAGAGGTATTACAGCTCTAGCTAAACTGCGAAATAACCCACCAAGACCATAACCCACTTGCCCATATCCTCTTTGCCAAGGTGCTCCTTTAAACACTGGTGATGAACCGTATCCTCGTTGTTGGTTGAGATAATATTGAACGTAACGATTTGGTAGAATCATATTTCTTATGTAAAATAAGACGAAGCTTGCTTTCTGAAATGAAGTGTCACTATCGACTTCCCTCGTTCAAATGCGATGGGGTTTCCTAACTCGTCCCTTAAGAGAATTTCGATGTCCTCAAAAGATTTTGTTTGCACGGGTAAGTATTGGATATTAGTGAATGTTCTTGAAACAATGTCTCCATATTTTCCTTGAATAGCAACTGCCTTTAGTAATTTTACATTGACGTCTCCAACAACTTGCGGTTGTACAATGTTGCAATATACATACATCATGACGGATCCGTGCAAATCAGAAGCATAAGGGCTTTCGGTTGTTTTTAAAATCTCTACGTCTTTTCCGCCAAAACCGAGTAAGACCGACATTCGTTGATTAAATGATATTTTGTAACCCTGTCTTACATGCACTTTAATTTTTCTGTTCGGGGTCAAAGCTCAATTTGATATTGTCTTTTACTTCTTTTTCAAGAGTCTCATTAACTGATTTTACTAGGTCGAAGGCTTTTTCATACAAGCCATAGTCGACAAATACCGGAGTAGGTAGACCTGTTTTGTAAGTTACATATATATGTGTATCCAAACCTTTTTTCAACGTGTACCATGTATGAGGATATGTAATTGAATACAATCCTACTTCCCAATTACCATTTAAATTCACAACGTGAGGTAGTTTTACGCGATAACCTGAAATCTTATTCTCAGGAAATACAGAGAGAGATGCATTACTAGGTAATGTCAGATAGAAGTGTGTCCCGCTCATCTTTAAGGTATAATGTGAAATGAAAAAATCATGAAAACGGTTACGTTTTATATATGTATTTCCGATGCTGGTACCCATGAATTAAATTTGTTAGGGTAGCCAGACCACTTTACAAAATATTGTACATTGCCCCTCTACCACGTTTCTTAAGTATTTTTCAATCTCATAAACATCGTCTTTCTTGATGACTTTTGAAGTTCTTTTTCATAAAATGTTCCTTGAAGTTCGTCCCCTTCATGATCTTTCAGTCTGTATACAGGAGGATTGCGCGGTATTTTTTGACTTACAGTGAAAATTTCTTTTGAAAAATTCGGTAAATACCCCTTCTCAAACCTTCGTTTTATTTTACTTATTCGTACTTGGTCACCTATATCAAACTTATATTTTACATGCGTAGGTTTATTTAATTTGCTATCACCATATAAATTTTGCCGAATTCTATCTTCATTTTCACTTGTAACGTTGATCGGTTTTTCCTTAATGCTGCGATGCATGCTATGATTATAAGAATACAGTAGATCAGGAAGCATGTCAATGTATCTCATGGTTTTGTTTGCTGTGAAGTAGCGCCACATTTTAGTTTTCAGTGTACGTATCAAACGTTCAACGATGGATGCCTTCGTCTCGTTAAATGTATTAAACAAGGTAACGTTTTCTTCTGCCAAAGTTTCTTAAAGTCTCGATTAAAAACTCCGAGCCTTGATCCGTTTGAATGTGTGTCGGTTTACGTCCTGATGACAAAATCTTTTAAAAGCTTCTACCAACGACGATCCTGTTTTCTTTTTAATGGAACAGCCCATGCATATTTGGAAAAAACATCAATACAGATAAGAAGATAGCGATAACCATCATTATACTTTTGCAAAGATTGCATGTCTGCAAGATGCAATTGCCACTGGTCGTCAATACCACTCACTACGACACGATTTCTTTCAAACTTTCTTTGAATAGGTTTATGCAAAGAGTATGCGTCTTGTTGCATGAGCCATTCTTTAATTCTTTCACGACTAATGTCATATATTCCTTCTGCCTTTACATCGCGGTACAAAGGTTCAACACCTCCGTAGCTTCCAGGACGTTTTGGATTGAAGTATACACCGGCTAAGTAATGGTCAACGTTACTCATGACAATGTTCTCGTGATAATAATTTTGCAATTAGATGTCAATTTCTTTTAACTACTCATTATCGATGGGTTCAATGTTTTCAGTTACAGGCAGTGTTTCTTCTATCGCATTATCTGTTGGAAGTTTAATTGCAGCGGGTCCATAATTTTTAACAGTTTTACTTGTGTATCCTGCTTGCAAATGACCCTCAAGATTGAGATCGTTGCGTCCGAAACTTATACCAAAGCGAAACATTTTCTGACGATTATGATTTTTATCCCTTTTTGCATTTCTATTTTCACGTTTGCTGCTACCGATTCCCATTTTCACAATGACATGGTCATACAACAACTGAAGTCAAAATGCAATAACATTGAAATTTATATTTTATTTTTTTTGTCAAAGCAATTACATAGTTGATCTGTATTTCAGTTTACAACTACAATCAGCATAGTCAAAGAGATGTTGATAAAAAGGAGGACGTTTTGTCTCCGTGTACATTAACATTAGTTCTACCCAAGTAACACTAAACAGTTTGTCAAAATATGTCTTGTGAGAGTTCGTAGGTCCGCAGTTCTTTAGAAACTTAAAGGCTTCACATATTCCATTCCAGACATGTTCGCGATTAATTGTTTCGACTGCTCGAGCTGCAAAATTGAACCAACGACCTTCCTCAGTCATCATTTCTAAAACGTTTTGATACTCTGCCCAAGGGTCTGCTTTACTTTCATCCTTTTCAGCTCTTCGTAGCTCTTGAATCTTTTTACTTATAAAATCGACGAAAATCAAATTGATAAGATCGCTGTGACTAACTTCTTCAAACTCAACAGTGTCTGCATTTATCTGATTAAACATGTGTGCCATATTTTTTGTTTTTTTTCAAAACGTCCAAAAGCAATGCAATAATAAACAACGCAAATAACATTTTTTAAGACGATAGTTCGACTATATAGTTTGAAGAATGAATACACAATAACATAGATCCGGTTTATTAACCAATAAAACATAAGGCGGATCTAATGTTACTTTGTCAATAGCATGCAACTTCCAGCTTTGTCGTATTTCCGATTTTCACGCCATCCAATGCCATGCCATGTTTATTAACCCCTATTTCCGGTTGACATGCGCGCGCACCGATCAACTTCAGGGGACTGGAAACTAACTGGCACGGGTAAGAGCTCCGTGACAAAAGTGTGACAAAGCTGCATCTTATCTACTTGAAACCCAACTTTAATATACGACAGAGATTTCATAACGACGTATTTCTGCTATTTTTGAACTTAAAAGTTAAAGCCATATATAAACACAGCAGATTTTGTGGAAATATGATCATGATTAATATTATGATTACTTTTTCGTATCAAGTGGGACCTTGCAATGTGGCGGCTCTGGCTTCACCAAATAGCGAAATGCGTTATCAAGTGTATTTTCAGATCAGTGGCCTCACCATTGAAATTAATCATTTAACATAAAAGACGACTTTTTTATCGACGACGTCAACTCTTTAGTAAATACTTCATTCATTGATTTCACTCTGCACATTGGAGTTAAGATGGCAGAACTAGCTATGTCAAAACCGAAGCATTAAAAATTTTTTAAAATGTTGACAGGGGCATTGATCGTGCAGGGCGAAGAATCATGGACGATCAATATTATGTAAGTTCAGTGCTCTAAGACATTGTGAACTGACCTTAGGGAACTCTTTAACAGGAGCAAAGACCTTTTCTGTTAGTTTAACAATGTTACCGTTAGAAGGAGGAAGATTAAGTGGGGCCGGTGCAGGTACTGGTAGGCCATTGCATGGACCGTGGAAAAGTTCGGTTCGAATGCGGTTAATCTCTAAATATAAGAGTTTATACAATTAATTTTATCTAATGTGTTAGATCAACAATCAGTCATTAATAATCGTTAAAACGTCGTTAGAAGTTCCAGATAGTAATCACTGTAGATTAAATCATTCTTACACTTGTGATCGAGTTAACAGATTTCGTAGTTGTCACGTGATTATTGTAAAGTTATTAATAATTTTGAAACGATGCGAGTTGGGCGCAGATTCTTTGATGGAATATTACGACTTTGCTTTACTTTCTAGTCCTCCGATCGAGTATTTTGACGATCATTTCCTAGCCTTCTTACGGGTAAACAGATTGCCACAGTTTTGATAGTTTTCCAACGCAGAACTAGGTCGAACGTATACTTATTACGATCATTACTAGAACTACAGAAACATTCAAACGAAGAGGCGTACAAAGATTATCACAAGCTTGTTGTAAGATTTTGCTCGTCAATAATAGAATTTGCATGACTTTGCATATTTAAAACTTTCTCCTACCAATACACAACAAATAAAGAGGCAGCAGCAAATGTTGTAACGTAGTGTTGCTAAGATATCGAAAATGGCGTAAAAAATCCAATTTAGAACAAATGATCGCTAACCTTAAAACATTGATGGTTTCTGATGGCATTTTTAAAGTTCAATTATCTCTTTGAACAATTGATAAGAAACGGGGAAACAGACGCGTATTAATGACTTCTACTGAAATTAAACATGTTAAGCCAGCCATAAAAGATATAAAGCCTTTGTTAGTAATCCATAAATCCTAGTGATTTCATAAAGAATTTGTAAAGAAAGATTAGTCCAATTATAAAATATCGAGTCATATGTTTAATGTTACGGTAAGTAAGCGAACATTCTTCGTTTATGTGACGCAAAAAATGACATGACTTTGCTAAGTCTCTCACATGCGCCGAAAATCGAAGATCATGACAATTTGAAACAAATATTTCTGTGATGAAATACGATACGTCAATAATAACAGTTTCAAAAACAAATTTCATATGTTGACCATGCTGATTCAAAGATTTTGAACAGGCGCAAAAGGCTAAGCAAAATTGTCACTGTTAGTGATAAATGAGAAAATTTTACAATTCATTTATATACATATCATTAGAATACGCTTCGCACTTTAACCTGTCTAGAGTAAGCAGGTGTTTGTTACAGCGGCCCAGAAATCAACATATCAAATACATGTCAACTTTAATGCAGGCAGTTATATTCATGTATTACACTTTTGGTGCACAACATTTACTCTCAATCATCATGCCTTCACGACCAAGTGACGTTTCAACTGTTTTATACCGAAATAAAAGTCTGAAAGACACAAGAATGATAGTAATTTCTATACTACTTGGTAAAGCAATATTGATATTCAAATCTTCATCGAAGCGAAGATAAAATATAATAATGCCCATTTACACGATACAATAACAAATAGGATATGGGTAAAGTGTTATGGGAAATACTCGTCGAACTGCGACTAATTTATCGTGAATTTAATGCTATTGAATAAGGACGCATAATATCGAGTACCATAAAGGTTTATCTAACATAAGGCAAACTCGAAATATTTGGATAGATCATAATTTTTCCTACCCTATTAAAACCGAAATAGTGCTTTCAGTAGGCTTCGCCGATGTATTATGAAACAAGAAGAAACAATTTTGACACTAAAAGATTAATAACTCTGAGCAGTAACCATATTGTAAACATACTGCATTGGCGCAGAATATACTTTAAATCGGAATTTAAAATAACTGGATGTCCCAAAGTGGAACACTCAACAAATACATTAGTCAATCGATTGCCATTGTGCTAGCTCTGAGACTCTTTTGAGCGAAACAACAAAAAGACGCGAAGTTGGCAAAAAGCGTACAAAATAAACGGTTTTCGAATTTGGAAATGCTATCTAATGAAATGTAAATACGACGGCGACTCACCTTCATCAAGAAGACGCTCTAAATGAAGAAATATTTTGGGCATTTTTGAAATGGTGGTTTTGTCTTTTAGAAGTTGATTCAGGTATTCGCTTGTGTTCATTTTGAAAGCAACGTCGCCAAAAGTTCAAACAGATCGATTTCATTAGAAGAGCAAGACCTGTTGATCTGGTCAGAGTCAGACCACAAAATCGTTATTGCTCTATTGACAATTACTACCGGATATCGTCTTCTGTCGTTTCGATTCGCGGGACATCTGAAGCAGATGACGTCAGACAGTAGATCGCCAAGTGATTGGCCAGGTGGTACTCGCTCCCATGCTCGCTCCTTATGTATTGAGCGTAGCTGGCTCTCCTTGCATACATTTCTAACACATCCTGAGAGATATAAAATACTAAATATTTACACCGCATCAAGTCATGTCAGAACAGTTATGTTAAATTATAGGCCGTATTCTCTGGCACAAATATGAGGTGCCAAATGCGTCAATATTTCAAATTGCACGAAATATCATCAAGCCACTGCAAAATTTGTGATAAGAGCTCAAGTCACCATAATTAAGGAGATTATTTAAAACTTGATGAAATTTTTTGCAGCCAACTTGATGAAATTATTACTATTAAACTTGACGATATTTTTAAGAGCCAACTTGATGAAATTTTTATTGTCGATTTCAGTTAACTTTTCAAATGGCGGTTGCCAAGTTACTTTCTAATGTTGCCAACTACATTTCCAAATATGGAATATTCGTTATGAACTTGTCAACTTGAGTTGACAAGTTGTGTACTTGAGTACTGAAGTTGAGAACTTGAGTACTGAAGTTGGGAACTTTAGTAGTGAAGTTGTGAACTAAAGTTGCGAAGTACTGGCAAAGGCAAACGGTCTTTGTACCCTGTAGACATTTGGCAATGAATCCGTTCAGTAAGCAAGGAAAAGCTTTAGCAATTCTAATCCGTTTGACGGCCCTCTTAGAGTGTTATAATGCGATACGCCGTTCACATTATGTAAAAAATTTACAGTAAATGTGGCATTAGAAGAGTATCGTTGGATTTTAAATGCAGGAGTACCCTGCATACTGTGCCCTCGACGTCTGTTGCCACTCGTAACAACTACAGGCGACTCATCAAAGAAATGCATACGGTTGCAATCAATCAATGAAATATTTGCTACGTAAGCTTATAACTTCTCCATAACGTCCGGCCGTTGTGTCTCTCGAGGAATTTGACTTATTATCTTGCAAGAGTAACCAAGATCTTTATTCAAAATTCTACTAATGGATGACCTGCTAGGTATGTTTGCTGGAAGGCAAACTTTGATATTTTCTAGGTGTTGCTGAATCTCTTTCGCGTAAATAGATGATTTATTAATTTTTAGTTATTCAGCGTATGCAATAACGTCATCTGTACGCGTGGTTCGAACATCACGTTCGCTCTGGCGAGGTGCAATAGAACCAGTGTCTACCCATAGATCTATTATATTTGATATAGTCTTATACGGTAGATTTAGTTGTTTCAAAATGTTTGTCAAACGCTGGTTATTTAACCACCTTTCAAGTATTTCATTTCTTACTTCTATTGGTAAAGCTTTTCCTTGCTTACTGAACGGATTCATTGCCAAATGTCTACAGGGTACAAAGACCTTTTGCCTTTGCCAGTACTTCGCAACTTTAGTTCACAACTTCACTACTAAAGTTCCCAACTTCAGTACTCAAGTTCACAACTTCAGTACTCAAGTACACAACTTGTCAACTCAAGTTGACAAGTTCATAACGAATATTCCATATTTGGAAATGTAGTTGGCAACATTAGAAAGTAACTTGGCAATCGCCATTTGAAAAGTTAACTGAAATCGACAATAACAACAAACTTGATGAAATTTTTGTCAGAGGCTCGTCATGTAAGCAAAACGTTTTGCCTTCTGGTCTTCATTTCGCTTTCCATAAGCAAAATGGCTTCCAAAACTAGACAACTTCTTCTGCAAGGTTCACACATTTATTTGAAGATTTCAATAGATTTATTTGTACATCAGACGATTTTACACATTCAGTTTTTCACCAGAGAGTTACCAAATACATTTTGCTGATGTACACTGTATGTAAAGCATTCTATGATCCGAACGCATTGACTACTATCTATCTTTCCAGCCCCAGATGATTTGAGACCAGATCTGATTCTTTTCATCCAGAACTAGATACGACTTATTTATCAAAATATATAAGAACCCTGCCCAAAAATAAGAAAACCATGGCAAAAAAAATTAAGTCTCATTGTAGTAAAGTAATATAAAAGCACGAGGGCTGTCGCGTAAACTTGTTTATTGAACTAACAACTAACTCCTACAAGCTTCGGGGTGTCCCATAAGGGGCAACTATTATTACACTCACACCGATGGTTGTCAGTGGGGAAGTGGGAAGACTAAGGTTGATAGTGAGAAAGGAACAAACGAACAAACTGAAGATCTTCGCGATTTAGGTTTTTTTCACAAGAACTAAAGTTTTTATAAATTTCTCGCAGTTCTCCTCTCCGTTGAAGGCTAAATGCTCGTTTCTAACCTATACAAAACAGAAATGACTGACACAAACTCGAACCAATTGTTGCATCAGTTTTATTTGTCGCTACCAACAGTGAAAGAGAATGGTTATAGTCGGAATCGTCGAACCAGACAGCATAAACAATTCACTATTGAGTTAAAGAAATACGTAGTTGCAGAAGTTTAATTTCTTGTTACGCATTCTATGGGATACTAATTCAAGGGTTTGCGAAGCCGTGGGTGTCTGGGTGTCCGGGCACCCACTACTTTTGGAGCGTGGGTGACATTTATATGAAGGACACCACAAATTTATTCCTTGCTGTAGCGTATGTAGCATGTTGAATGCATGGGTTTTATATTTGCACCAAATACTCAAAATATTGAACGGATCCTTTGCACTGCCATGATGCCCTTATTATTAATTTACATTAACCAGGAACTGCCTGCAAGCGAGCTTTAATGAAAACTACAACATTTCACTCATCAATATGTTATATGTTACTAGGCTTGGCTGCTAAGTACGCTTGATAAAAAGCAAATATGGCCAACAGTAATTTCGCAAGCAATTGCAAGCGAACAAAACAAAGTTCTATTTCTTTTAAAAAACTAAAATCAAGCAAAAATGAAATCATAGAAAAAACCGAAAATAATTATGTGGACAAAGATTTATTCGATGAAAGTTCTCCTGTGCCTATTCCCTTCCTTCAAGATATTCAATGCTTCCAAGATAGAAATTTCATTCTCTTGCTGACACATGAATTCTGCAACAACTTTGTAACCAACGTTGGTATGAACACATAGGAAGAATAATGGTAGTGCATATTTTGTATTTTTGTATTTTGCGTCAAGTAAGGTCAGGTCACTTCCATACCTCAGTAAGAGATTTCGTTGCCATTGCTCTTGATGGACGAACAGAAAATTATTACCTTCTCTACAATTCACAGGATTCCCGAAAAAGTTTGGTTTGCCTTCATGGGTACGCAGAAAGAAGTTTGACGTTTCTAATGACAATTTCCACGCGTCTATCTTTCGTAGCAGGGATTCCTGCTAGTCGTTGACTTCTTTTGTCGAGGCAACAGCTATAGCCACGTGATTACGTATATCTTTGGTTGTTGGATAATATCGACGATTTGTCATTTTGGGCTTCGTGTGCTCAGGTGTACCAGCAAACCAATCATTTTGTACGAATTCTTCAAGAAAACGTTTGACTTCTGGAATCGCTGTTATATTTTTGTTTGCTAGTTTGCGAATTCGTTCCACGATTCTTTTGTCTACGATTTGGTTGAACAGTGCATATTCTCCAACTGGATAGTTAACATGCTCTATACTTAAAGTGGTTCTATGACGAAAACTTAGCGTTAAAAAATCATCGATTTTAGCATTCAATAGTTTAAACACATATCAATTATTGCATTCGTAAAATGTAAGCAAAAATAATAATATAACGAGGGAGTTATGAACATTTGAAATGTCTAATTTTCATGTCCGCCATTAAAATCGGCCATTTTGAATATTTGCAATCAGCAAAGTCTGTGACGTCATAGTCTTAACACGGCAAGAAGCGCACATTGGAAAGTATACAAAGTAATACATAAATAGAGCAAAAAAAATGTCAAATTCATCGAGGTCTAGCTCGCTCTCTGAGTCTTCGATCGAGACAAACGCATCGATTTCTTCATCGGAATTTGTGACGGCAAATTCGAACGAATCTAATTCGGAAATTTTGCCATTTGTCGATAATACTGAACCGCTTGCTTCGCCCGATGAAATTGCTGAGTACGAAGCTACAGTCGCAGAAGAACGGCGGGTTGAAGACATGCTGCAATATCGTTTTGATGCCCGTGTTGATGTTACTTCATGGTAAGATGTCATTCTTAGTGTGTTACTTTGATCTGAATCGTCTGCCGTTAGCTATGATGACTTTATGGAAACATACAATTTGGCCAATATTAAAGGTGTGAATGTGGCCATTGTTCGTTGGATCTTGTTGTCAACCCTCAAGAGTGCCGATGCTGCATGGAAATAGAGCAATGCCGTGGTAAAATGTATCAGTTCGAAATCGATGAAAGGAAATGCATTTTGGATCACCCTGGCTTTAACGAAGTTTGCCTGAACGAATTTGTTCTTCAAGCAGCTTCGTTAGGTTTAAAGACCAAAGGTCATCGCATGATTCCAGACACTTCATTTTGTATTTCCTTTAAAACCTTAGAATTAATGTATAATATATATTGAAAGTTTGCCTGGATGTATTATTGGTTCTCTCAAATTGTGTAAATTTATCATCTGCAATATATGTAAGTATATAATAATAGCAACTTGTGCTAACCTGACGCCGCTCTCTTGACGTTGTTGTTGTTTGTGATTTCTTCCAAATAGTAGGTACGGTACCAGGTTTGAGCCGTCTAGTAATACCACCCAAATGGAATAAACGCTCAAAACAATCATCCGAGAAGTGATTCGAACAAATCATAAATCGAATTTCGCGCGAACTCGGATTAAAGTTTGCGCGCTTCGTCTGAACAAATTTAATCCAAATTCTTCTCAAAGACTCGTCGTTTGGGCTTTTATGTAATGAAATGCCTGTACTTCTATCAGACTTATTACTGCAATCTTGCACGACACAGCGTGTTGAAGGCATGTTAAAAAAATTGAGTTATACAACCTTTTAAATCTCTATTTGTATATAGTGTTATATTGTAAACAGCCGCGAGTTAAGACTATGACGTCACAGGCACCTTCCTTCTTGAAAATTCAAATATGGCGCATTTTAATGGCGGCTCTTAAAGTTCAAGTTTTATCGCTACGTAACATGGAATAGCAGCATGGAATACATTGCGCTAAGATTTCGCCAGAAGAGATTTTTTTACATACACTATTAATCTATGAAAAAAAAACGAGAGGCAAAATTTTCGTCATAGTACCACTTTAAGAGTTAAGGTATGATTGTCACACATTTCTTATTAATTTGCACTCAGGCGAATGAGATGTTACTCGCTGGAAAAAAACTGACTGCGGTCGAAGCTTGTAACTACGGTTTGGTAACAGAAGTTATTACTCAAGCCGAGTTTGAAAAAGAAATTAACAACAGAATGAAATACATGGCTGCGTTGCCGCCGAAGGTAGCACAAATCTGGACTTTACAGTTATTGCATGGTTTCATTTAACCATACAATGCTTCTCTGCATTGCAGTCGCTCTCATTGTCCAAGAAATTATGTCGCTCAGCAGACCTGAAAAAACTTCACGATGTGAATAATAAAGAATGCGAACTGCTTGCTCAAAGATGGCTTTCGGAGGAATGCGCGCAAGCAGTGATGACTTTTACAACGCATATCAAAAATATAGTTGAAATATTAAGTTGATTCCTGTTTATGAAATCTTCGATGTATTTTCTTTCTGTGTATTTTATTCAGTTTGATAAAAACCATTTACACCAAAGTGTTAAGCGTACAAAAGCACCTGCGCAAATATCTACTTGATGTCACGTGACAATATGTTAATTAATCACACTTATTTTTAAACAACTGCATCATTTTTCAACAAATGCACAAGAAAATAAGGTTATTGCGACTAAGAAGTCCGTTACGCCAGCAGTAAACACTGAAGTCTCAATGACTTCGACGATACAGAACGAGTGTTCGAAATTTTCCAGCTAAATTTTTTTTTCTATGTTTTGGAACTTGATTCAAAACGCAATTTTTTTCCTCCAAAGTAAAGATTTTAAAAATCGTGGTTAAATGAACGAATATGTTTTGTTATTCAACTCAAGTTACGAATGATTTACACAAACAACGCTACAAATTCCGCTGCGTAAAGGTTACAAACGGATCATTAGGAATACAATTTCCGCTGCGTAACGGTTACAAACGGATCATTGGGACACATTATCCTATTTGTACAATAAATATTAGCACGCGCCATAAGTCTGATCGCAAGTATACCTGGATGGTAAGTCATTCCTGTAACCTCGTCCACCATCAACTTACGATGCAATCCACAATATCATCGTTGCTGATGTACTTTTGAAACAAATCGCATTCCTCGTGATTTTTAAACTCAAGTTCTTCATATTACTGCTGACCATCAACGTCTTTGTGTCTCGCAGGCACTACAATATTAAATATGCTGCTTTACTATTTGTTGACATGGATTTGCTAAAAGTTCGAAACTGTCAATATTTTCATAATCTGCGACGCGAACGTCCATGAACAACAATAGAAATTTATTTCATTTTCAAAGGTCCCGTGTCCAGTCCCTCTCCCTCCAGTTGCTAAGCTCCGCCCACCCCCACTCCTTCCTCTTTCCAATAGTGCCCAATCCCTCTCCCTCGTAAAAATAGACACACAAGCCTGTCTAGAAACTAGTGAAAATCTCGCCAAACGTTAATTGAGTTCCTCCTCCAAATGTTTGAAAGATAAAATTTCTGCGACAATTCCGCGCTCCTTTGCCATGTAGCAGTCGAGTTTCGTGCTGCTTAGAATAACAGACAAGGCCTGATTTAAAGGAAATTCACCATAAGACAAAATGAAATTTTTTAAAGCATCTCGGTTCCTTCATAAAAAAAATAATGTTTCACGATAAACTTTTTTTGAGGGGGGGGAGGGGATAGGGATAGGGAGTGAAGCATTTTGGGGAACTTAGATAAAGCTATTCGTAGTTTTAATTACTTTTCAATCTCACAGTTAATTTTTAACACCTCAGAACATAACACATCCTCTCAGGTTCAAGAAAAGAAAACATTTTAATTTTTATATAAAGTGATCAATAGGCGTGGATACAACTCAGATACATAACATGGCAAATATGACCTAGTGCCCAGGCCTCCGTTTAATATAAACAAATCACTTGTACCTGTGAACGACCATATAAATGAGGTAAAGTTAGAGAGCAACATCCAACTGGAGGATGACCCCACTCCACAAACTTTGTTTGAAAAGTTGCCTTTAAAAAAACACGACGAATATGTCAACTGAAATAAAAATTACGTAATGTAGTACTGAGGAGTCACTAGAGGGGTGAACAAAGTACTCTATTATATTAAGGGTTGTGGGTAAAGAGGGAAGTATGGAGGTAAAGGAAACTGAACCCGTCGAGGCTTAATATCGCCACGTTACCACATAAATTTTTTCACTTTGGGGATTTTCGTCTGAATGTATTATTGACGTGTTTATTGCATTCATTGGCGAAGTAAATTGACCAATCAAAAACGACTCAATAAATGTTTGACATATGATATTCAAAAAAGTTCGGCTGTTTTAAAAATTATATCAATTCCTTTCTTTTTTCCACAAAACTCTCAAAAATGACTTAAATGTTAGTGAAGTGACGGTACGCGCAAAAAACTCTTTTGAGACAATCACTAATTTCCATATTAAATATAACTCTGATATTAAACAGTTGAAAACACAGATGAAATCAGACCAGCTAGGATGAGTAATTTTATAAACTCAATACTAGTACCTTTTCTGAAGCAAAGACTATATCACACAATGCGAGAAGGGAAAGACCAAATCCAGCTGTTGGACCGTTTACCGAAGCGATCAAAGGTTTAGGACACGTGACACGAAGTCGTAGGTCGTATTATTGCAGGTCTACACCACAATCTGAATAATCTGCACCTCTATGCAATTAACGGCATAAATGTGCCATTCAATAAACAAACCAAAAATTAAAACCATCAACAAAAAGCATTGAGATTTTCACAAGAACAATAGAGATAAATCAAGAGGCCTATAATCATTTATCACAAAACCTCTTCTATTGATGATGTCGGCTATAACCAAACTTTTCTATCTTCTTTTGTAGCTACTTCATTCCTTTATATACGCATCTTCGAGCAAACGGAAATGGACCACTTCAATACCCCAGTTATATCATCACATAAAGAATGTTTAGTGCAGAGTAGATCTTCTGTGAGTATCAGTTGACCACCTTCAGGTGGGCTCATATAATAATGGGGCCCATCATCATTATATGAACAAACAACTGACATCCACAAAGAATCCAAACTACAAATAAACATTCTTGGCCATGAATCACCATGACACATGAGCAATGAAAAACTAGTAAGAGTAATTGAAGTGAATGAGAGAGGTGGTAAAGGGACTTTCACAACTCCATCCATGTGGGATCTACAATATGAGAAAATCTGAAATAAAGATATGCAAAGTAACAATGCATCAGCAAAATTAATTTATCATGAAATCTCATGCATCTCTTTCATATTATATTACATTGACTCCCAAAGACTACAGTTCTTGCACTTAACACCATAAGATTAGAGTTCATGAACATAACTCCTGACTGTTATAGTCTATGCCCCTAAATCACAAATATTATGAATCCACCTAACTCACTATACTTCTTGCACCTAACTTATAAACACTATAATTCACACAATTAGCTTGCAAACACTATATTTCATGCACCTCACAATTAAAAAACTATAGTTTATGCACATAACTCCAAAGATTACATTTCACACACCTAAGTACCAATAATTAACTACGATAGATTTTTAAGAGATGACTTTTACCACAATATCTTTTTAGGCGTATTCCTGACGCTAGCAAGCATGAAAATAAAGTTGTTGGTGATTATATCTGCTAAATATGATTGAAAAAAAACATCGAGCCAAGAATAATCTAAAGATATAGAAACATAACATAAACTAACCACATTGCTTTCAACTTCATTGAAAATGGCTTCTACACCAAACTTCAACAAACGAATTGTGACCTTGCCGATATATATATAGCGTTATGTTGCAAAGGAAGCAAAACGAGAAATGCCCGACGTCAATATATCTCACATTCCAAATTTACTTTACACGTTTTTCTGCCAAAGCTGCGAGTCGCTCTTTCTTGTCTTCATCTCATCAAGCAAACATTAATTATAATTTTGAAAACAGCAATTCTTGGTTTTCATGTGTGTCTCAAGGGAATAACAAACAAAGAAAGGGCATCCACCATGTCGCCTAACAGCAAAGGGAATCCAATGATATTATTTTGTAAGGAGTCCATCAGCATGATGCATATGAAAACCACAAATACTTTCCATAAACTAACAAATTCACAGTTTGAAAACGGATCGCTTTCTTCTATGCCAATTGCATGTTAAAAGTTCATTGCCAATGGCTGCTTCCTCAAACTAAATATAAAAAGTGTTATGTTCAAAGGAAGCAAAATGAGACATGTGGGAAGTCATTATCTCACAGTCCAAATTTACTTTAATTTACATCGATATGATGCGAACTGTAGAGACAACGACACTTATCACTTTATTATAAAACACGTGTTATATAGACAAAAGAAACAGCCACCATGGGGTTGCTGCAAAACTGCAACGTCAATTTAAATTTTATTGCAAAACCAATCAAATTCATTCATACTCATTACACTAGTTTAAATTCATAAAAAAAATTTAAAATTTCCGATCCGTGCCACGCCTTAACAGCTTTCTCTAATCTCCCAAGTTGACTTTTTATAAAGCATTGATATGTGGTTAATCTCTTTTACCGCGAATTTTGTTGTAGATGGACAACTTTTCGCATTAGACAGAATATTTCACAATAAAAAAACCGTCTGTGAAAAACTATACTTTTAAAATTGTAGTTGTTCATTCCTTTTTATGCAAGAGAAATCGCAAGTTATTAGTAGCCTTACAGATCTTCTTTCTCAATCAGTAAACCATAAATTTTCTTTTACTGCTCAACATTCTATTAAAAAAAAGGTAAAAGGTGTGCGAACAGCAAGCGGTTTTAGATTATGTTCTTAAGCCATGAAAACCGCATGAAATCTTTGTGACTATCTATTAACATCTTCACACGTTTCTCAAGATCACATTCAGTTTCAGTTCCAAAATTTATATTTTTCTCGTTATTATAAAGCATCTTGTAAGTTGTGCTATTCATAACAGCTTAGCTTTCCGCTAATAAATAAGTGATAATGAGCAAAGTACATACAACATGTGGCTTTCAGCTTTGTAAACATTATTCTTCGTTTGTGGCGTTGACAAAACTACAACGAGAATTTCTTCTTTTAAAGTACATATTGTTACTCCATAAATCTATTTATTGAGGCTTAAATAATCGCAATGATTGTACTATCTTGAAGCAATTGAATGAAAATTGATGAGAGACTTGCGGCTTCTTGCGAGATGCGGCCCCTTGCTGCAGAGTATTTGTCCTTTGTTGCATATTTCAAAAGGTTTTGAATAAACGGAACTTTTAATGAACTGAACCAGCAGCTGGTGGAAATGTCGAAGAAAATCTTGATAAACCTTTGAATAAATGGCTGGTCATGGTTAGAAGAGGTAGTCTATTGAATGGGTATGACTGGTAATTGTTAGAGATAAACCATTAAATAAATGGCTGGTTATGGTTAGAAGAGGTGGTCTATTGTTGGAGCATGATTTTCTAGTAGTTAACAACAAACCTTTGGGGTCAAAGCATTGTATTTATCAGGCCTGTTCATTGTGATTGTCCTCAAACCGCCATCAGTAGAGACAAGAATATTTTCAAACTCATTTGATGTATTAATGTCTTTGTTGCGTTGGCTGTTGGTCTTGGGTTCTTGTCCTGAAGTTACATTTAAGAAATATTGAATAAATTTGCAATAACTGTTTTGGACTAAACAGCCCAAAAGTGTAAGAGATTGAGTTCAAAGATGTTTCATCTCCTTGATGAATGACTAAGGTGTTTCACTTGCATGTCAAACCTTTTTAACAATATTTAACTTTAATAACTCTAGACATATAAAGGGAATATGGTGATCGAGTAAGAGATATTGAATATGCTGCTTTTACACCACTGGTTTTTTCAACATCAGGTGGTATGGGGAAAGAGACGGCAATTGCTTATAAGCGGCTAGCTGATCTGCTGGCACAAAAGAGAAAGCTGAAATATGGCATCAGGCTAGCGTGGATGCGTTGTAAACTGTCTTTCGCACTGATTAGGTCAGCAATTACTGCGATACGAGGAAGTCGATCTGCCTCAACTCGCGAACATACTTTAAATATTGACCTAGGTTATTGGGAAAGTTGTCTTTACACTTGACTGTCCCTTTATCATGGATATTTTAAACATTGATGTTAGTTATCTTTGATTTAGTTTTGACATTTATATTTGTATGTTGTAGTTTATAATTTTAATTAAATTTTAATTTTTCTTTTTTAATCAAAATCGCGATTAAAGTTAACTAAGACAGGTTTAAAAAAAACAAAAAAAAAACTGTAGACATATAACAAACTTACTCCTGTAATGTTAAAAACATTGTTAGTCAAAAAATCTGTTCTATAGTTCAATGTTGAGAAGGACATGTACACAACAGGGAAATGATGTTTATACAGAATATTTTGCAGAAAAGCTTTGTGTTTATAATACACAGCAAAATTCAAAATCACCTAGTAAAGATTCCACAAGTGCTATATACTGTTTTTGTGCATCTACCTAAAAGAAAAGTTCAATTTAAAAGTATTCATTACATGCAATAGAAGTTTTTTTCAAAAGTACATAGGTATTTGATAGAGAATCAATGGTACATTTGCATTTTTTTCCTGCATCACCAATACTAAGAATGTTAAGTACAAGATTTTACTCTCCTAAATGTTAAGGAATTCTTCGTAAATACAAATAGGGGATATAATTAAGATTGCATGGCTTGGAGAGAAACTATGTATATTAAAACCATTGAAAAGCACAGATTTACATGCAGATATTTTAGCTGTATGTTCCGATAGGTACTCATAATTTCCTGAAGACCCACAGTTCTTAATTAACGGTGTGCTGTCAACTTTGCACAAAACAACTTTTTTACTGTAAATAATTTGATGACGATAGATTTTAGTAAGACTTGTGAGAGTGTTCAATAAAATTGTTGAAAGATACAGTCCTTTGGTGATGTTTGAAACTAGATACATATTGAATGTTCATTATAAGATAAGTGCAGCCTTTCTTAAACTAAATATTCACCTGTGATAAATCACCCAAAGCATTCCATTGCATCCATGCATTCCATTTTGCCTTTCCAACAAAGTCCAAAGTCCCAGGCTTTGGTGTATTACATTTGCCTAAAGAACCCTGGAAATGTATATTGTTATTTGGGTTCGTCTTATTTTTAACTTTGATTGTATTGTATGGTGGGACTGTGAACAGCTATAATTGAAAAAAATTCACTGTGCCTTTGCAAAAATGTGATTCAAACGCAATGATGCACATTGTGCATTAAAAATGTAAAGTCACCATTTAATTTAATTGAAGAGCTTGTAGGTAGGAGATACAACAACTAATGTTCAAGCTTTATGTAAAAACCGGATACAATATCTTTATGAATCGTAAAATACCTGCTTGAAAAGGGCGTACATCTTTAACTTCAATTCATTCCCTGGATCTTGTGTTAAAGATCCTAATTTGTCTTTTGCTTCTTTAAACTGGTGAGAGATTGCAGAGAACTTCGAACCATCTTCGTAAAAATGTTCAGGTTTAAATAAGGTCGAGATAGATAGTTCACTATACCACGACGAAAAATTGCATGTGATTTACAAACTCTTGGCGTCACGTTCATTTGCTATAGTAAAATTTACAATAAATATTTTTTTATTATTGATTGAACTTGGGACGAATAAGAAAATTGATATCTAGAAATGACATGAATGAAAGGCAAAAGTAAATCAAACATGTGACTATTTTTGACCAATGACATTAGGATGTTGATAGTGGTTACAATCAATGATCTAGTACCCATTCTACTAGATACCTGACTCAGCCAAATTTGTATAGTAATGAGTAAGGCAAATTTCTACGCGGCCGCCATTTGCAAAGGTGGCAAAAGCACAATGGCGGCATATAAAAACATTAAGTCTGTGCTGAGAGAAATCGACTTTGAGAGCGTTTTTATGATGCTGTTCTACTGAAGTTGCATTAAAAATGGTGAGTAATTTCTTTAATATTGTTAAAATGTGTTAAATTTTTAAATACTTGAGATAGAGCGGTCTTAACGTGTATTTTGCGACCATAAACTAAAGGCTGAGAGTTACATAAGAATGAACTACTAATCGTGAGTATTTATTAATTTACATCTTCTTTGCTGTTCTCTATGCTTTTTATCGTAAACCAAAAACATATTTACGGAAAAAGAGCGACAAAATCGCATAACAGCTATCCAGAACTTTGATTTGAACACAACGTTTACGGTTTATATGAATTATTTTACCTGAACAACATAATTTTAGATCTATTAACAATATGACTGCATCGTTGTAAAATGCGCTTATTTTCACTATTTACAATAAACCACTATTAATTATTTTTAGGATTTACATTTCCTTGGTTGTGGTGTGGATGTTCATCGAAGTCGACTAGATTCCTTGAAATAAAACAAGCTTCGTAGATTGCTGGCGAACACCAATTTTGTTTTTGTGGAGGATATCTTTATTATATCGCTTACCATAGGTCGAAAGTCGTAAATTGATGTATTTTTCAATGATCTGTTTGATAAGCTGTGATGAATGTAGATCTTCAGTTATTGCTTCGTGATCAACATCATGCTCGTTGAGTTCAGGAAACAAGCTCTTTTCTGCAAGCTCTTGGTTAATAAGATGAACCATTATAGTGTTCAAGTTTCTCCTGCTGGAAATTTTTTTTTTTTTGAACGAGTTTCATGAATGAGGACTTGAAAAGCTCTTTCAGATGCAAATATTATTTTGGTCACACCATTAGAAGGGAGAACAAGACCACCGCGATTCTTCAAACTGATTAAAGATAAAGATGTAGTAGTTTGGAAGTGTGAATAATTATGATCATGAACTGATGATGATTTTTTTGACTTAAGCAAAAGAGCTCTTGCACATTCAGTACAGGTGATTCTATTGATTATCTTTTTTACAACAAACCCAGCAATATATCCAAGTATTGCTTCTTTGTATGATAACAGTGAACATGATTCTAATCCAGAAACTAAACTACTGACATATTGTGTGTCCTTTGGTGTCATCTCTTCTACTTCAAAGGCTGGAGCATTTCTTTTATTCCATTTTAATGAAAAAATAGAACCAGCAGATTCATTTTCGAAAGTCAAACAGTTTGCATGCTTGGAACCAATGATGGAATTTCTTAATAGAATTTTTCGTAGACTGGACTTAAATTGTACAATATCTAGATTATTGTTGAAGCCATTCTTACCACGTATGCATGTAAACAGCAGCTCAAGGTGGTCTTGGGACATTTTGTATGTCAGAATGTATTTGAAAGGACATGTTCCCTTGTCAGGAACATGACTTTCCTCGAGCAAATCTATTTTAGCTTTTATAGCGCTTGGTGATGATGTTTCTGTCTCTCTTCTAGCAGGAGGCTTTCTTTTTGACTTTTTAGATAGTAGTCTCTCCGGAAAAGCGAACACTGAAGGTATCGCGTCTAACTTTAACTTGCGTTTATAGGCATTTTCAGTGTTATAATCATCGTGCAAAAAATGATCGCTGCAAAGAAAGCTGTTTGCGTTTGGGGTAAAGTTTTTTCGTTTCATAGCAATGACCCATCTTTTACAGAAGTCCTTATTTTCAATGGGAAATTTGTGAAAAGCTATGTTACTCTCTTTCAAAAAGCGATTTGTACATCCATATGCGGCGCACGATTTGACCATGAAAAATCGAAAATTACGCGCTTTGCAGCTAAAATGTGCTTCTTGAACGTTGTTTTAGAGTTGAGGATGTTATACCTGTGTTTGTTTTGAAGATTGATTGCTTTCAACGTTTTTCAAGCATATATTTGAGTCAGTTTGACATGTAAACTATACTACCGTATATTGCGTGTTATGTTTTTTGCCACCTTTCAAGATGGCGCCCGCGAATAAAATTTGCCTCACCGCGACAACGGCAGTTAGATATCTAGAGGATTGGGTATAAGTCATTGGTTACAATGGATGATAGTGAATAATTATGGACATGCTTTCAAAAAGGCGTATTCTGAACAAGTGGTATGTTAACTATATTGTGTATATTATCCGACTGGTGAAGAAATTTCAGGGCTTCCATTTACTACATTTTTCAAAGTTCATGCATGAGGACAATATTTCTTCGCGTATTCATATTTTTTACGAGTTTGCAACATCAAAAGTTCGAAGCAAGGCAATCGATCAACAGGGCTCAGTCACTCAGTACTATGCTTAGTACTTTTTTAAATATCTATCGGGAAGTCTGGCTGGGAGAATGGTACTTAGACTAATTCTAGGCTAACTTCACAGAATAGATACAATAGATTTTATGTGCTAACTTTGTCAATCCAAGAACACCTGCAGTACTGGTTTTTATAAATCGGGGTATTATTTTTTGGGTACACTTGCAAAATGTATCAATTCAGGAAGAAATTCAGACGCTCAAATGACTTCTTTTACAATAACGTGGAGAGGAAAGGAAACACACAAAAAGATGATGCGGTAGGAATTTTTAAAGTGTTCTTTTTATTGTTTCTGGTTGCACAATTTCATATTAATTTATTTTTATTACCACAGTTATATTAACAAAAGTATGTGTACAAATTTATTTATGCCCACAATGTGGTGTAAGGAAAAACACTTAGGGGGTGTTTACATGAATCCGGAATGAACTCATTCCACTTTAAAAGAAATCCTATTGCATGTTTACATGAATCCGGAATGAGTCACAACTCGATCCGGATCGAGTTCATTCCTAGTTTCATTCCGGATCGAAATTTACTTGTTATCTCATGTAAACGCGAATTGAGTTTCATTCTGGAATGATATTGTGATTAATGACGAAGCACGCATGTGGCATGGGTATTGTCTTCCGGCAAATTGAAGCTCGTAAGCAAATAAAGAGGCTAAATGGGTTAAAATGAGTGCGAAGAAAAACAACAATTAGTTTCATGTAAACACGGATTGACATCACGTTTCGATCGGGATTGAAAGTCATTCCGGATTCATGTAAACACCCCCTTATTCGGAGCACATTTTCCAATTTCAAGTCTGGATTCTCTACATCCTTTAATCACAATGTCATATATGTTAATAGAATAGCAGTGTGTCATATGAATCTCAATTTTTTGAACAAGAAAACGAATTTGGGGATTTGGTAAGTTTACATATATTGTAAAACTATGTAGATATAAAAATACGCTATGTTTATGGGTTTTTTTTAATTTATATGTAGAATGAACAAAGTGAAGATATTGCTGAAAATTATGACAAGCACCAAGAGTTAACCACCAAAACACAGGTTCTTAATGTACATATTGATATTGTTTCTCATGAAAAGTCATTGGAAGTGGTTATATGTAGGACTGCTTTCACTAGAAATAACTAAAAAATTTTGAAGTAATTTAAAGAAGGCATGCATTATTTAAACACTTATTAAAAGTCTGTAAACATTTTAAATTAAATAATGGTCTTTATTTGTAGGACTCTGAAGATATCTTTACCAAGCAATCTATCTCTATTATTACAGAGGAACCCAAACAACCATGTCAACATAGTCAAGTAGTTCTCACATATACAGTTATACTTTATACTGTTTACCACTAGTCATGTTTTTAATGTGTTATAAATTGACAATATGCTTGTTGATTGCTTATGCGTGAAACACTGTCTAGCAAAACTTTATTAACATCTGGTAGAAATGTGCTCAACAAACATAAAAATATATTACAATAGATATTTTTGAAATAGTGAACATTAATAATTACTGCGTACTTGCTCTTTCAGAGTCATTTGTCACCCACTGGCCACTATACTGGGCTATTGTTACAGTTTGACTTTGCATCAAATGTATCACGTCAGCAATCCTTTGTTGTTCATGATTATAATGCAAACAAAAGAACAATTATGGTGATGTCAAATTTTATTTCCATAATTTCAATGTTGGGTATATACCCAACTAAATGATATTACTCAATATGCTTTTTTTGGTGCTATAATCTGCATGTATTTTTTTCTTCAGCATAATTCACTTGTATTTGTACATCGATATCCCCACCTATTGCTTGATGGCTATGGTTGGATATTGTGCTGCTCATGTGATGCAAATAGAAAGCAATTTGTTGATGCCCTACCTAATAATATACAATTAGATCCTCAAAAAGGTATGTAAAATAGATGTTACTGAAATGAAATGATTAAAACAAGCCAAACAACATTTTTGTACTTGTCAGATATACCATATCCTAGTTGCATACACATATTAGCAATGGAAAAAATATCTGGTTGTGTATGATAGAAAGTTTGGTATTGAAGCCAAAGATTTTATTGAAAAAAGTAAGTGTTGTGTGTTACTCTTTCAGGATATAAGGTGTCTGAACAGCTTCACCAAATTTTGACTTACACTTACATACTATTTGTTTCAAGACTCTTGTCAAAGATGTGAGAACTTGTTACATATTAATCTGACATTGCATGTAGTGAATGTCTCAAATTTGTATTTGGCTTATTTTTTCAATGTAAAGTTCTTCATGTGGTATGGGAGAAAATGTCTTCATCCTTAAATATCAGTTTATTGTACATTTCAAACCCTTGTGAAGTCATCCTTCTGTGTTTTACAAGACCCTTGTTCGACATTGTTCTTATTACATGTGGATGTTAACCAGCACAGCTTTACAAGCAAAAATATTGTTAAAACTTGTGAATGATTATTTACACAATATATTTATCTCATGGAATTTCTTTTATGAATGCAGAATCCACATCCATGATGCAGTCTGTTTTCAGTGATCATTCCTACCATGAGATGCAACCTGAAGAAGTATATTTTGTTATGTGAAAATAACTTTTTTGTACAAATACACGTATTGTTTCTCAACCTTCTAATACCCCACAATTTGTTACCATACATCCTGTGCCTAAGTTCAGGAGCTTCTATAAAGCTATTAGGGTGATAACCAACAGGGCAAATTGAATTTATTTATGACTATTGAGGTATACACATTCATACTCACATACATACATAGCCACATACTTACAGTACATACATTAAGTAGTATAAACTAAATGTATGACAAAAATAGTAAAGTCATATTCACCATTTGCTTTACGTGCCTGATATATATATATTAAGCACTTTCTAAAGATTTTGTGAAGTCATAATTAATCATAATTATTAATCTGCATACACATACACACACATACATACACACACATACATACACACACATACATACACACACATACATACACACACATACATACATACACACATAATACAACCTAAAGATAAATGATTTTACATATTTTAGGACTTGTTTAGTGCAGTGTGCAGGAGGTTCAGTGGATTGCTGTAAAACCAGTGAATAGTCCATGGGGGTTTGTACTTTAGTGTATTCAAAAGTAATGCCCCCAGCCCGAGTTAAAATGTTGCAGCTATTCGTCATATCATTGCATTCATGTGACAACCCTTGCAAAAGCCATGCAAATCGTTGACGAGGATGAAATGGATTCTCCATTGGCACTTTTAAGTTTTCCTTTGGAATTACACCAGATGCGAGACTATTTTTTGACACTTAGCAAAGAAAAGGTTTCTTTATTTGAAACAGGTATGCAAGATAATCTGCAATGGTGAACATCCTTTTAGCTTTACATATACTATTTCCTTTATCGGTATGGTATTTAGCACTTTCTAGCATTTTGTAAATATTACTATTTAATTATTTTAGGCAATGAGAATGATGCAAGCGATTTTACTGATCTTCCTGAAAAAAATGGTCATAAAATTTTGGCGCCATCTGAAAGTGGTATTTGTTCTTGTGGTGCAGAGTGGGATAAACGTTCTATTCAAGATGAATGGTTGTACGTAGACTTGTGTTCAGTTGCGTACTTTTGTTCAATCCATGATGTGAAGGGTAAGTTCTGATTTGTTATAGGTTACGCTTCACTTCATAATTATTTGACTTAAATAAATTATTTAGTGTATTGTAGACCTTGCTCCTCTTGTGCTACGAAAAAGCATTATGATGGCATTGAAAACATTATTGTATGGTTTGGATCATATGCACTATCTCATGCCGATCTAAAAGATTACATTCGGCTTTTCATAACGTCGAGGTACTTTTTAATGAAAATTTGCCGAAGCATTAGTAGCTACGTTTGTCCATTATTTAATTTTCTCGCACTATATCTTTTGAATGTTTTTTCTTTTTTATTCTTGTTCAGTTTACCTATGTACAAATATTATGTTGCATATGTACAAAGGCAAGTGTCTTCGGGTAGTTTGAATTTCCCAAAGGAAATAACTTACGCCAAGTTTCGTCTCGCTATCATTGCCATGATACGGTAAGCATCATTTCATTTTCAGCTGCAAAATATGAATATTCCATTGAGATAGTGATCGCTTGTTTTATTAAGTTATTGAATTTTCTCTTATTAAGGTTGCTTGATATTGATTTTGACAATGGGTTTTTTTGTGAATTATGTGGAAGAATTCCCCAGAAGGTGGTGATGGATGGAACAACTCTTGGAATACAGAAAACTTTCTTACCAAATAATTTAAGAGAGTCTGATACTGGATTGCTAGATGGAAGGTAAGTATTTTTGAAGTTTATCTGTAATATATAATATATACAGGTCTGCTAATTAGTAAATACGAGTGTTCATCTACGTATCAGAAAGCATTTTATGCATGATGGTGACTTCTCTCACTTTGTTTTTGTACACAGCTTATAGTTATAAAAATAACAACCTGATTTCTTAACAGGTTTGTTCTCATAACAAAGTACATAATCCCTTTTTTCCGTGAAGCCCATGGATGCGTTCGTTCATGATGAAAGAGTCATATTGTATAAGGAGGCTCTCGTTCATCACGAGAGAGTTATGAGAAAAATACGTTGTAAAAGGTAATAAGTAAAAAACGTATAAACATGCTTAGAGTTTTTTTAAGTTATAGTTCAAAAAGGCAGAAGTTGTTTGAACCTTTGAAGTATCCTTGGACGTTCTAGTTTTTTTTATGAGAAGAATTCTTGTAAAGAAAAAGATAAATTTTGAAAACCAAAGAATCCCGTTTTTGGTCCATGCCTCCCGATACCCCGAGATAGTTGATCACTAGAGCGTCGCATGTTAACTAAGGGAACCACATAATCCTTGTTTGTTTTCCATGAAACATATGTATGGTTTGCTCGTAATACATGAGAAACAGTAAATGTGAGAGTTAAATCAGAAAGATATAAACCGATAAAATTGGTATAAAACATGTTTAAGGTTGTCTTTATTTATAAGTGTCAGAAGAAGACAGGGTCATAAGAAGTTAATTGAAACATTGCTTGGTTTGTTTTATTAGAAGAAAACAAAAAGATAAAATTCGAAAGCAAAAAACCCCGTTTTCGGTCCATGCTTCCCGATACCTTCTTAAGCGCAAGGCATTAGAACGCCGCATGTTAACGTTTCGGTAGATTTCGGCCCCTCCACGCTATCCTACTTGGGAGATGCCAATAGCAAGCTTCCGCCCATCAGACCCTGAGATCACCTGCGATAGGCTTTGCTCAGGATACGCAGGGAGAGTGCGGTCGCCACCGAAGTGGGGGCCCCTAAGCCACTGCATACTATATCGCACCCAGCTTCCACTGCTAGTTGATATCTACTATATGAAGTTTTAGCTTTATATATATATATATATACCAAAATTTAAAGGCGTACGAAAGTTGTGGGATGATTGTTATCGTTACTGCGCATGCGCAGACGATTTCTCTATTAAATTGTTACTAAGCATGCTCAATGAGACTGCGCATGCGCAGATGATTTGTTTTAAAACGTGTGACTGAGCGAGCTAATTACTCCAAAATCGGTACTAGTACATCCAGTTGGTCGTTACTATGAGCTTGGAGAGTTTGTGGAGTTGACAACGCATGCTCAGATTCTCAATTAATTTTTGACAGAGCAAGCTCTGAAATTGGTGCTTGTAGATGCGCTGAGCAAGTTTTCCATCATATATTTTTGGCATGCTCTTTGTCTACTTAAGCTTGTTTTGACAAATGCATGTGAAACTCGTCAACACTTTGTTACGGCACTCGTAATATCCGTGACAACGTTAAAAATGTTTTTTATTTTTCTCTACAACTTTATACTTGCATATTGCATGTCATATCCAAGCTTTCCTTTGATTTGACGGGAAATGGTTTTTATTCACTCTTACATCTTCTGCCTTTATAATTAGTCGATCTGTATTTCTAAACTAATATTTACAAATGCCCCAAGAGAATCTTTTTATTTTATTGGCTCTCTTCTACAAATACAATACCATGTCCGACTATTTGATTGCACGAATTTTGTAATTTGATCACGTTTTTTTGACACTTGTGTTTACGATGGGAAAGATGGATTGCTTAAATGTACCTAGTTGTTTAGACTACTTGGATCCATAGTTATCCTGTAATGTATACTCTTGTGAAACACCAATGAGCATACGTAGTGTGTCTTCTATAACCTCTATTCTTGTTCTCCACTTCATCATCTATCCATATTTGTTCTTTTTTAGTTCTCAGCTCAACACAACCCTTGTCTGAAGTTCCTAAAACCTTCATCTACCCAAGAAAGATCTCTGGTGGTAACATGTTAGGTATGGCTAGTGGTTGGTCATCGTCATTGAGCCTTGTGACACCAGTTCAGTATACGTTAATTGTCCTGAAGACGTTGAGGAGGTTGCTAGTAAAGCGTCGCCTAAACCAGAAGTTAGTTTTCATGGTATGCTAACGGATTACGCAAACGTTGTTAGAAAGAAGTTCACATCAAATGGTTATGGTCTCGTTCCATCGTCTTCTGAGAAGGTTTCATGTTCATCCTGTATCTTTCACCAATGTTACAAATACTTAGTTTTTTTATGCTTTTTGAAATTGTCGTTTTTATGATTATTATTTTAGAGCATAGACATTGAAGAATCTTGTGGTAGTACAGATATTTTCAACATTTTTTTGTTGAAAAATTCTCTAGTTTCAATTCTTCGAAATTTCTCATCTTAATTTTCATCTTTACTTTAGAATCCTTTCGATACGAGAAATCGTCGGGATTTGAGGTACTTTATACGATATATTGAATTTAAGTTTTATAGCGTTAATAACTCTCATCTGTCCATCGTAACTTTGCTATGATTCTATGGATAAATTATGTTTTTGTATATAACAGATTATTGATGATCCTACTTCACCTGAAGGTGTTCAGCAAGAACGACGTATGAAGTTACTGTCGTTAATTAACAATATAGCCCTTGATAAAGGGTTGGATGGTCAAAATTATAAATGTCATGGTTGTTCCAGACCAATTGGAATGAGTATGATCAATGAATTCTCGACTTGTTATTTGCTAATAACTCAAATATATTTTTATTTTCAAATTTCTTAGCTTAATAAATGTTATCTTTGTAGAAACTATTATAACAAAGTACATAATCCCTTTTTTCCGTGAAGCCCATGGATGCGTTCGTTCATGATGAAAGAGTCATATTGTATAAGGAGGCTCTCGTTCATCACGAGAGAGTTATGAGAAAGTTACGTTGTAAAAGGTAATAAATAAAAAACGTATAAACATGCTTAGAGTTTTTTTAAGTTATAGTTCAAAAAGGCAGAAGTAGTTTGAACCTTTGAAGTATCCTTGGACGCTCTAGTTTTTTTTATGAGAAGAATTCTTGTAAAGAAAAAGATAAATTTTGAAAACCAAAGAATCCCGTTTTCGGTCCATGCCTCCCGATACCCCGAGATAGTTGAGCACTAGAGCGTCGCATGTTAACTAAGGGAACCACATAATCCTTGTTTGTTTTCCATGAAACATATGTATGGTTTGCTCGTAATACATGAGAAACAGTAAATGTGAGAGTTAAATCAG